CTTTTTTAATTTGGAGCATAGCATTTATTAGGTGGACTGTGAGTATTCTGATTTTTTTTTCGTGCAGAACAATATTGTTCTGCACGGAAAAAAAAAATCAAAATACTCACAGTCCACCTAATAAATAATATGATATTGAAATAATGAGGAAAAAGAAAGAAAAAGAATAAGAAAGTCTTGATTAAATTTTAGATATTGAACCCATAGTTATTGCTACAAATGTAGCATAGCAATCTATTTTTATAAAATAATATTCTTTTAACATATTACCATATACATGTATATATATCTTTGCAGGTCAAAACATTGTTGGTAAACTAAAAATGTACATATGTCTGTGCCCGATCCTTAAGCTGAAATTGCTTCCTACAGGCCCGTGTAAATGTCAAATCTTTCCTAATGACAGCTTAATTAAATGATACATGAATTTTAAACAAGTTTTTTTTTTCAGTCCAGGCCTTAAGGTCATAAACTGCGAACAGACTTTAGGCTTGACTTTGATTTCAATAACTTAAATCTATATCCAATGTATGTGCAAAAATATATAGGTGTGTTAAAGGTACTTGGACACAGATTTGAAGTTATTATTTTCTCTATAATATTACGACTTACAGTATATATTTTAATAGCATTTCACACAAAAATCAATTAAAAATCTTATTTCATATAAAAGATATTAAAACTTCAAATTTTTTGGAGGGTTTGATTGACACATCCCTGCACTTTCACAAATTAATTTTATTCTTAATCCTTAGGAAAAGTGGCAATCTCGTTGTGTATATATGAAAAATATTAATACTATAATCCAGAAAATTCAGAGTAGACATGTTCGAAAGCAAAACAAACACGCAGTATATTGTAAGTCCGTGCAGTTGTGGTAAGCAGACTGTGAGGATTGAACGCACCCGGTGAAATGTAAACATAAACAATAACAGAACTCGAGCCCTGTTTACAAAAACTGTGTATATAACACGAGTGTGCTCGATTTGCTAAACTCTGTACGCAACTCCTAGTTCGGAATGACGATACTTGTGAAGGAGTTTTGCTTTCTAACATTTCTACTCTGAATATAAAATTACTTTTCTGGATAAAAGTTTTAATATTTCTCATTAATACACAACAAGATTGCCACTTTTCCTAAGGATTAAGAATAAGGTTAAAATTTGTGAAAGTGCAAGGATGTGTCAATCAAACCTGCCAAAAAATTTGAAGTTTTAATAACTTTTAAATGAAATAAGATTTTTTAATTAATTTTTGTGTGAAATGCTATTAAAATATATAAGTCGTAATATTATAGAGAAAATATTGACTTCAAATCTGTGTCCAAGTACCTTTAAATATAAAAAATCATCCACATATTGTTTCTGTATCAAAATTAATTTTAAAATCACATTTATTTGATCTCATTTCTTTTAATTTTATGATCTTGTGGCCTAGTCTAAATACAGATATAGTTAGTCATATATGTTGTACAGTATAATGAATTCATGAAATACATTTCACTTCACGGAATCCCTCTGGTGAGCATTTATCTAATCATCAATTTTAAAAATGGTACGCATTAAAATTTTAAAGCTCTTTTACTTACATCAGTTGTCGTGGCCGAGTGGTTAAGGCGATAGACTAGAAATCTATTGGGGTCTCCCCGCGCAGGTTCGAATCCTGCCGACAACGAGTAGCTTTTTTTCCTTTTTCTATATCTTCCATCTATTAAGTTACATGATCTTTTGATAATCATAGAAGAAATTTAATTGTATCTGCATATTTCAAAATAATGTGATAATACCAAAACTTTATCATGAATTTTATTCTTTATTTTCAAGTATCATCCTTGAAAGTTTTCTTTACAAAAAGAATAAAAATTCTTTTTTTTTAAACCTCCAACTTCGTGCATATAAACGTATTATAGGCGAAATTGTTTGTTAAGTTTTTTTCTTTTATTTAAATTATTTGTTAACTTCATTTTTGTAGTTTTTTTTCACTCAGTGTTAGGCCAAATGAAACACTGTAAATTAATTTCTTAAATCCTTCTTAATTAAACTCCTCGAAACGATTACTTAACATTTTCTAGCAAGTTGTCGTGGCCGAGTGGTTAAAGCGATAGACTAGAAATCTGTTGGGGTCTCCCCGCGCAGGTTCGAATCCTGCTGACAACGATATGTTTTTAAATAGGTGTTAAGGGCATTTTCATGGACAGAAATGTTCAATTGAATGAATTGGTTCCTGCCGACAATATCTTTTGTCTTGATTGGAAGACTATATTAACATAATTTCCCAAATATTTTAGGCGTATTTCAAAGTAAAAATAATAATTCTCTTTGAAACTTTTATTATTTTGATATAATTGGAAAGGTATGTATGCCATCTTAACAGTTGTTTTTTTAATTTATCGTTATTATTTAATTCTAACATAACTTTTATCAGCTGCTCATATACTTGGGATCCTCCTCTTATGATACCCCTCCCGTTCAGTGAATTGATAGTTAGAAATTGTAAAATGATTTAGAATAATAACAAGCAAATTCAAAGAATTGTGGTCCCCTCTTTCGGTGTCTTTTTGGGCGAGATGTCATTTTTTATGACATTTTGTGTCTAATATGAACGCCCTATCATAAGTCATTTATTTAGAAATTATCACTGAACTCCAAGGTCAAGGTCAAAGGGTTAACGTTCTTGGTAACACCGTATCCAATGAAAAGTCTTCTCAAAAGGATTACATATGTGAAGCATGATAGCCCTAGCCCTTACCATTCAAAAGTTACGGTCAAGGTTAAAGTTTTCTCATAAGTACAAAAAATCTCCAAGGTTACAAAAAGTTTGAGTAGGTCAAACTCCAAGGTCAAGGTCCAAGGGGCAAAGTTCTTGGTATTCAATGAAAGGTCTCCTCACAAGAATTATATATATGAAGTATGAAAGCCTAGCCCTTACCATTCAAAAGTTATGGTCAAGGTTAAAGTTTTTTCATAAGTACGGAAATCTCCAAGGTCAAGGTCAAAAGGTCAAAATTGTTGGTATCCAATAAAAGGTCTTGCTACAAAGAATACATATGTGAAATATAAAAGTCCTAGTACCTACCATTCAAAAGTTATGGCCAAAGTAAAAGTTTGGAATTTTTGTGTAAAAGTGGGTCAAACTCCAAGGTCAAGGTCAAATGGTCAAATTTGGTGGTACCCAAAGAAAGGTCTTGTCACTAGGAATACACAAATGAAATATGAAAGTCATAGCTCCACTAAATCAAAAGTTATGGGCAAGGTTAAATTTTTGTGACGGACGGACAGACTGATAGACTGACGGACAGCTAGACAGACAGACTGACAGACTGACGGACAGACGTACAGACGGACAGACGAATGAGATATAATGTCCCCTCGCTTTCGCGAATGCGGGGGAAAATAATTAAGCTTTTATTGATCATTAAGACAAGAAAGATAACTCCCAGTCTCCCACTTATTTAAATGATGACTACATTATATTTCCACAGAAAGGTGTTTTGAAATTGTGTGCAATTTAATATACTGATTTCCCGCCGAAATATGGCTGAAATATTGCCGAAATATTGCCGACTCGGCGTTAAAAAACAATAATCAATCAATCAATATACTGATTTCATTTGTAAAACCAGAAGACTTTATCCGGAGTTGTCGTTCTTTTCCCCCCGTTTTTGATATATTCTCTGGATAATACGTATATAAAGTTGGCCAGAAATAGACTCTAATTTATACAGCATAGATTATTTCTCATGATTCACAGGTTCTTTTAAAAAAAAAAATTGGTAATATATAATATTTGCTAATATCAAATAATATAATAAATATGGACTCAATGCACGGTCAATATGCATTTATAAATTAATGACCCTTGATGAAAGATAAATCTCAGATACATGTAGAATATCGAAGCGCCCTGGATCGATATACTCCATGTATCTTCGGTCAATATCTATCATCCTGGGTCATTATAAATGCATACTTAGTATTGAACTTCATTTAGTCCATATTTGTATAATAAATTAATAATAATACTTTGTCTTTCATGCTATCTACTTTTCAGATGTACTTGACGTACAACTGAATTTTTAACAATTAAAAAAACACTTATAAAACATTGAAATAAATGAATTTGACTCTATTTCAATAGATAAAGCATGCACAAAAACAAATTATATTGTTCAAAAATATGAATATTTTGAGCTGTGACAATACATAACGGAGCAGTCAAGTACGATATATAGTACGGGGTGGGGAGACGGGCAGGGGGTGGGGGTGCCCCCTCCCCATTTTTCAAAGCATCCTTCTACTGTTAAAATGTTCAATAAAAGGATGGTCGCCCCTTACAATTTGTTGCAACTTAAACATGTTTAACAATTCAATTCAATTCATGTAGTTGTAAAGAACCCTCCTCCTTCCAATTACATTCCAGTGGAGTAGCCACACCAACAAGGAAAAAAAGCAATATCATAAATTAATGACAATGAGGGGTAGTTATATATGGCACAATGTGCAACAGATAATTTATATTTAATTTTATATAAGATTTAAATAAAGATTCATAATATTTTGTAAAGGAGAGGGGGGGGGGTCAATTAACATTTTCATACTAATAAACTTTATATATAACATTACGTATAATTTTGGGGAAAAGTTTGGGGAGTTGATCCTCCATAACTTTATTTTCTATTTACTACAATGTAGTAAAGGCATAATTACAATTTTTCTGCAGTGGCATTATTTGCGTTTTTGCACTTTTCATTTTAACACGAGGAAATGGGGGGGGGGGGTGTTAAGAAAATCTTGTGTTTCTTTTATAAAAACAGAACTAGCTATAACTGCCGGTACTTTGAGTATAATTCTTGCTTGTGATCATAATTCAATTTTCTTTTACATATTTTGATAACTCCCCGACATTTCGTGACCGTCCCGGGATCTCCTTTTATGGCACCTGCCGGAATTTATCGGAATGTGATAGAGATCCAACACTTGTTTACGTAGCGCCGTCTGCAGAATCTCACAGAGGAACATCTACTGTCGAAAACATCGCTTACCTGGGAGAACAATTTGTAGATCTGGGGAGAAGAGTGAGTTCTATTAATAACTCCATATTCCTCCTCGTCAATCCGACCTTGTACAGCGCCGAAAGTGAGGAGCACCCTGGTTACTTAGGGGAAGGATTCCGTGCTATAATTGTGACGGTGGTCATTGATTCAGGAAGATGACGACGATGAATGTTCAGATGAGTAAGCAGAATTTGGGGGAGCCCTGGGGGTTCCGGCTCCAGGGGGGTCAGGACTTCAGACAGCAGCTCACCATCAAAAAGGTCAGTGCTCAGATCTAAAGTACATCCCACCCCTCCTACTAGTTTCTCATGAAAGTTAAGAGTATTCCCCTCATACTATTTTGCACTTAATCGTATTATTCCCTCTGATATTTTCCCTTAAGCGTATCGGATGCAAGCTTTTAGCAATAACAATAAGTAGTCTGAGAGATTTTATAATAAGTTATAAGTAAATGTATCAATCAAAGCAATTGGAAATAATGTGTTGATTCAATTCGAGCTAGAACTAGCCAGCCTTCTGCACCACCCTCCCCAATCTGCAATGGTCCAATAATCAAGACTCGAAATTATTGATCCGCCACGCATGTACTTACTGTACTATAGCAAAATCGGCGTTGGTTGTTTTGTTGTGAAATACTTTTAGAAAGAGTATTTCTGTAGATATGTGATGAGATTGCTGACTCACCTTCTTATTAACGCTATGACACGGACCGCCTCTAATTACGACATCTGTGGGAGCCACGTGTTACAGCATCAGTACGCGTGCTGAGCGCATTCCTGACGGATTGTTCAAGGAGATTGTTCTCATTATTGTTCGAAATCAGACATATTCACTAGTTTACGACAGACTTAAATAGCTCATGGAGTATTATATCAAATCGAACACCACGCTGTACGTTTTATCGACCATTCGCAACCGAAACTTATCCAGTGTATAGATCATGTAGATGTAGATATGCGATCTTGATCTTTACAATAATTGTAATTTAGGTATCTGTCTTTATCGGGCAGTTCGCACCCACAGGGGCATCTTGTCCGCTCCGTTCTCTAATACATATTTAATGCATAATTGACATACACGAGAGTGTACTATGTGTATTAATTTGCTATGTAATAGGGAACCTGTAATGCACCTAACCCCGCCCTAGTGTACTGTTCCTTTTCACCCCTAACCACGCCCTAGTGTACTGTTCCTTTTCACCCCAGACCCCCTCGGGAACAGTGTATATGACGGATCAGTGCACTCGGAACACATGCCCGTTTGTTATCATTTGATTGATAAACTCAGTCGGCTCAAGCACTCTTCGCGTATCAATTCATCGCTGTGCATTAGATTGAAAACATTCGCAAGTTTTGTTTACACTCGAAAAAAAAGATCAAAACATTTTTTTAAAAAAATGTTACAGTAACTGTTCTTCTGGATTATTTTAATTAACGCCACCTGTCTGAATAAATGCAGAATTATTGAGTTGTTTTCGTCCAATTCTTTGTTACATTACACGTTAATTATCAATTACCACAACATATCAAGAAAATGACGTGTTCGTTCTTCCGGAGAATCTGCTAAACAGACAAAGGCTCGTTATTAACGTCTTTGTATCTAAATGAAGAAACAACTCCTCTGGAACCTGGGTCCGTGCCATTTATATTTGCTCAATGCAACTTACGTCAAATTATTATTAAGGTATCCAGCAAGTATAGAAATATCCGACTATGAAAGCTTGTCTATTAGCTTTTGTTTTATATAAACAAACCTAAGGCGTTCCAAAGCACGTCAAGTTCTGTTATATCAAGACTCCGTGCAGTATATATGATACTAGTGTTATATTGACCCTCGATCTGATTAAAGATTAATCTTGCTTCGGATCAAACGAATATATCATTCTTTTGAAAAAGAGATGCAAATTTTATCAAATTTTAACCATAATTATGGGGTATGCAGTATTATTGTTTGCATGAAAATGAAATGTGTAAAAATCGTTAATAATTTATTTGATTGATCTGAGAGATAGGACTATGTATATCGTATCTATACTCATCTGGAAAATCTCAGGTGTTTATAACAAAAAGGGCCCAGTGCAAGATCTTCCGAATGCTTTAAATTGATATAATAGATTTTTATTGTCCCTTTTTTGTGCACTCCAATCTAAAAATAAATATATAAGAAATACCACGGTTTCTTCATTGAAAAGAAATGAATTATCTTCAGTACATGCATGAACATGAATTGGATGTAATAAATCTTTAATTAAATTGTTATAACAAATACAACAATTTTTTTTATAGGAATCCTATCTGTCAAAATAAATATTTAAATTAATTATATAACGAATTCAACAAATCTGTTACAATGCATTCCAGATGTTTCAATTTCAAAAAAATATATGGTTTTATAATATCGACTTCAAATCGCTTTTAATTTACCAGTCATCCAAGTTGAGTTTGATCTACCATACCTATACTGGATTCCACAACTTCATAAAAATTCTGCAAACAAAGAAATATTCCGGATCCAGCAAATGTCTACCAAGCCTTTATCTCTACTCCTTAACAAAAAATATTAACTGTAAAGGATAAACTTCAGACGGTTTGTGATATTGCAATTTTATCAGGTACATGTAGTGTATATCAAATTTGGATCTTCCAAAACTCTGAAGAACTTTTAGAAACTTTAAATCACCGATATTTTCAAAAGTTTATTACATCAAAACTTACGATTTTCCTACGCTTTATAAAACAATTCCTCTCGATAAATGAAAATCTGGACAACCGCGTCTTCGTTAGAACTCGGAAATTTTTACATTTTGATATTAAACATCAGCAATATTGCTTCATTTAAAACCACCCTGACTGCAAACACAAGTGCTCTGAAGTCAATGTTATAATAATAATATTGATAATAATAATAATAATAATGCTTTATTTAAAGAAGGTAACCCGATTAGTACAAAGTACTAGTCTTCCCCGGGGCCTTCTACAATTCAGACGATATACATAAAATGGTACAATCAAACATATATACACAGTACATGAAAATGATAAGCTCATTTTATAACTTCATAATCGGATGTAATGTACAAATTAATGGAAATATAAGACAATAAATAAGTCAATATACAAAGTTTAAAAGACATAGTTAATAACAATAACAAGGACATCTATAATAATGAAAATTACAGACGTTGGCTGATTATAACTTTTTCCAAATTCTTTCTAAAAACAGGCAAAGATGGTGATAATTTAACATGTAATGGTAGACTATTCCATAAATGTACACCTGAATATTGAAAAGAGTTTGTAAATAGGATTGTTCGATGCTTTGGTAATCGAAGATTATAATTCAATTCTGAACGTAATGAGTAGGAATCGGAACTGTGAAAAAAAAAAGATCCTGGATATATTCTGGGCTCATACCACGAAAAGTTTTATACAATAAAATACATTTATGAAACGTAACTAACTCAAAAACATTTAACCATCCTAGTTTTTCAAACAAAGGCTTAGATGGTTGGTCAGGTGCTGCATCAAGAATAATTCTAGCAGCACGTTTTTGAAGTTTATGAATTCTCTCAATGCTAGATTTGGACGTATTACCCCAGACTGTAAGACAATAGTTTATTGAAGGCAAAATGTATGCATTATAGAAGAGTATTCTTGTACTTAATGGAAGAAATTTCTTAATTTTACGGAGCGTAAATAACTTGTATCTTAATGCTTTACAAACTGTATCAACATGAGAATTATACTGAAGAGATTGATCTATCTGAATACCTAGGAGTTTTTCAACTTCAGCGTTTTCCAAGTTTTTGTTAGAAATTTTTGCATCAAGTACTGGGTAATTTAATCTTGATCTCTTTTGTTGGGTACACATAAGCATACATTTTGATTTATCTGTGTTCAGTATCATTTGATTCTGTGAACACCAGTTTTCAATTTCACATAAATCAGAGTTTAAATGTGTTTCAATATTATGTACATTGCTGTTAGGTAAATGCAGAGATGCATCGTCTGCAAACATATCAATATTAGAGTAATTTTCACATAAAGGAAGATCATTTATATACAATAAAAAGAGGAGTGGACCTAAAATGGATCCCCGTGGCACCCCTGCTGTGATAGGTAAGATATCGGAAGAACATGCGCCAATTTTTACACTTTGGGTCCTTTCGTTTAAATAAGACTGAAACCACTTAATTGCAAGTGAATCAAAATTATAATGGCGTAATTTCTCTATTAAGATATCATGACTGACTAAATCAAATGCCTTACTAAAATCTAGAAAAGCTATGCCAATTAAATTCCCTTGGTCCATTGCATGCAACCAGTTATCGGTAAGTTTGGTTAGTGCTGTTTGGCAAGAGTGGAATTCCCTGAAACCAGACTGTGAGCTCATAATGAGGTCAAATGCTCTTGTAAATTCACGTACTTGATTTGCAATATGCTTTTCAAAAATTTTTGTTTTTGACAAAGTTGGTAAGATAGATATTGGGCGGTAGTTACTGGGATCACTTTTATTGCCCTTCTTATATATGGGGGTGACTTTAGCATGTTTCAGCTGGGAAGGGAATATGCCATTAGTAATGCTAGTATTAATGAGATGAGTTATGGGTTTAAAAATTACATTTGCAGAAAGTTTTAAGAGACGGGGACCAATGAAATCTACACCTGCTGATTTATTAATGTCAAGAGAGCGTAGCATAGTTAAGACCTCGTCCTGACGTATAGGAAGTAAGCTAAACACATTTTCATCATTGAGTTTGGACTTCGTGAATTCTTTTAATTTTTGAGAATTAAAGCTATGGTTTTGTGTTTTGGTTAAGAAATTGCCAGAAGTTCATGTGAAGTGCTCATTAAAAACATTTACGATTCGTTGTAATGATGATGGAATTATTCATCCACAACATTTAAAAAGTCTTCGGAGACCAAGGTTTCTAACAAAGTGTTGGAATTCCTATGGACACTAATTTTCCTCCTTTATTAGCTGATGTTTTTCATTTTGCTCAGAAGCAGATTTACTCAAATCCCCACTATACATTATAAGAGAGAAATTGTGAAAAAAATGTCAAATAAGCCCCGGGGTTGAATATCGGGGGGGGGGGGGGGGGGGCTGTCCACAAGTACCTGTGGATTGGTCATTGTTCGTCAGAATTTACCTATTACATTAAAAGAAATTCGATAAATAGTAATATCGATTTTTTGTTTGTTAGGTCCTAAACAGGCTTCCGTAAATAAAATATATGCTACTAATTCAAAAATTATTC